GCACCATGAAGCTGGTGGGTCCAGACCAGAGGCCAGCACCATGAAGCTGGTGGGTCCAGACCAGAGGCCAGCACCATGAAGCTCGTTGGTTTCGTTTTTCTGGCTTCACTAAAGCCAACAGCTGCAGCTCAGTGGCCACAGGAAGCGTAGTTCTGACCCGTTCATGTGAAACCTGGACAGATGTAGAGCTGCACATTCTCACAAGAACAACAAATATGATTCAAAACAATACGGGGAATTTTAAAATATAGTCTGAGCTAAAAGCAACTCAGCTGCTGCATCTAAAGCAGGAGGGGAGCTGCTAGAAGCTACACAACAACCTGCAGACTGCCAGGATGGAAGCCAACAGACGTATCGGTGTTCCAGCAGGATGACCCGTCAGTCTCCCCGTCAGGTAGACCCGTGTGTTGTTCAGGTATATCGTTGTGGCCTCTGCAACATGTTCAGCCTCAGCTCTGGTGGTATAAAGCAGCTCTTAAAGACCTCCTCTGGCACCCTCTCACTGTCCAGGCAGTGCTTCCATATCAGTTGATCTGTTATCTGGAACAGAACCTGCTCTGGAGCAAGCGAGCTGATCCGTATAAGTTACCGTGATCCAGACAACCCAGAGGTCACCTGAAGTGACCTCACTATCTCCAAGTCCTGCTTCATAGTGAAAGCCTCAGGTGTGCTGAACCTCCAGGACGGCCCACTCTGCCCAGCTGGCTCCAAAAAGGTTCTGTTGATTTCATTCTGAGCTCCAGTGACACATCCCCAGGCTGTACGCTCAGCACCCATCAGTCCTGATTCTGAAGGAGGAGCTGGCTGTGTCCGGCTCCACAGGCCGATGTCACACCTCCTGAAGTCCACCTGCATCTACGGCTCTGCAGATCTCTGGTATTCTCTACACTCAGTGGAAAATCTCTGGGCTGAACCGGACTTGTGAAATATCTCTGCTGCTGTCTCATTTACTTTTCAAAACCCTATTTGTGTCGCCCTCACACACACAGTGTCTGGAGTGTGAACACTGAGCTCCTCTGGGTCACCTTCAGCTCCTTGTTGGAGACACTTCCTCCCCTCCTGCCTGTTTGTTGGACAGAAACCACATTGTTGTGTGTTGCTCTGTGTGCGACCCACCAATGGCGCCCTGGTTCTTGTCATCGCAGACGCTCCACAGCAGCTCTCTGTGGGCGTTGCTGATGCCGGGCCGGACCAGATGGACCACTTGGTTCCAGTTGGCCTGGGTCACCACCGGCTCACCGCCCTCCTCCTTCTGCTCCTGCAGGACGGCGAAGGCTCGCACCATCTTGTGCCTTTTGGCCCTGACCAGCTGCCGTACCTCCTCCTGTCGGACAGAGACGGTCAGTGCTGCAGATGCTCAACTGTCAGCAGGTGGACATCACCTGAAAACATCTGTCCTGAAAGCAGCTAAACACATCCGTCCATCCATCAGTTACCGAGACACCACAAACCCACATGTATGCGCCCCAAATCAAGCATGTTCAGAAAACACACACCTGTAGAAAAACAGACTCAAATGTGACAAAAGGACAACTGCTGATAAAACACTGACTCTGAACAAATGGGCTGTTTCTGCAGCAGACAGGAAGCATGCTCACTCAGCTGTACCTTCAGGTATTTTTTGTAGTTGTTGTAAACGACGGCCAGGAAGACAGACATGAAGATGTACGTGTTGATGAGAATGTACAAGATGAAGAAGATGGCGAAGACAAAGCTCGCGTTGTACGCCGGCATCCTGCCAACGAGAAGCAGAAGGTAAAATGTGCAGACCTCAGACACTCAGACACCTTCTTGTTCTGTGTGCAGCTCAGATGTTTCCTCCTAACCAAGAGCAGAACGTTGCTGTGGTTGGACGGTTGCACAACAGAAACAACTACAGCATGAATGTAATTCACACTCACAAAAGGCAAAGTGTTGACAAATGCAAAGGTCACAACATTCACAGGTACTCGTCTCAATTTACTGAAGAAAGAAAAAAACAGATTTTTGTACTTTGTTCTTGGTTCAGTTTAATTGCACTGAAGTCTTCTAATAATTTTCTGTTTGTTTTCAATGCAGATGACTGATGTGCAGCTACAGGTGGAAAAAAATCACATTAAATGACAACTAACTGATAAAACACTGAAAACCAATGGGATCGTTTTGTTCTGTTTGTGCTGCTGTGAACAGACGGTGCCGAATCACTTCCTGCTTTTTATCAGAACGTCAGAACAAAACGTAAAAAAACAAAAGGAAACGCGTCTCATGTTTCGTTAAATGATTTCTGTGCTTCACATTTGACTGAACCGTTGATCTGCTCGCTCTAACGTGTTGATGTATATTTTAGTTTTTTCTGTAGGAGTGTCGGATCACAGTAGAGTGAAACGGGACACTTTGGATTTATCCATCACTTCTTGTTCTCGTCGTGCTCACAGAGAACCTCTGGGTTTCTGTCTGAGTAGAGTCCGGTCAGGTTTTGGGCCCATCATGTGAGGAGCTCTGAGAAGGCCTGTGGACTGCATACGATCAAAGTTTCACTCATGACTGATGTCTTATGCAGACGTGCACTGAGGTGATGGTAACTCAGTTCTGTTACGCTGCTGCTGATCTTCTGCTTTGTTCAGATATCTGTTTCCTGTGGGGTCACGTGTCCGTGCTACATGCAGTCAGGGAGGTTTAGTCTTCAGTCATAAACAGGTTTCTATTGTTCACCTGATTTATAGGAACCTCTGAAAAGAAAGTGCAGAACAAACGAAATGGAGATAAACAGCCAGTTCTCCAGATCTGTGCCATTAAACCAGCGCAGATGACAGAACCAGTCATGGTAGGAACGTCACAGTCACGTAAGTCTCATGGATTCATAGAGGACGGTGACGTTTCCTCACAGGTTCACACAGACCTGAATGTCTTCCATCATGTGTCCGTCTAGTGATGGAGGGTCTCGGTGCATCGTTTTTATTCACACAGCCTGTTTCCATTTTGTCTGATCAATCATTTCACCACTTTTTCCTTCTAGCTGCACTTCTTGTTTTCAGCTTGAAGGGATTTCTACATTCCAACATGAGCTTAAGAGCAGGTGGATGGAAATGTTCCTATTTTCAAGCTTTACAAGGACAGAAGTGCTTCAGACTGTGTAGAGGCAGCTGTCTGAGCACAACGCTCTGCATCCCATCACATCTGGCTCCAGTGTTGTTCACAACATCTCAGCTCTGCATCTCTCAGCAGACATGAAGACACCTGGTGCACATGGCTGGTTGTCAGGTTTGGAATCTAAGGCCTACTCAGCAGACATGGACATGAACAATGCTGGATTTGATGTAAATTTAAAGGGCCTTGATCCTTGAGGAAGCAAATACGTTCAACACATTTGTCAGAACTCAAAGAGACAGAGTGAGTTTGTCTTACATGACGTCGGGGCTGTTGGCGGTGGTGACGAGCACGTACAGATCGAAGACGATCTCCAGGTAGCTGGTGAAGTACGGAGTGCCATCTATGGTCTTCAAACCTCTGGAGAGAAAACAAAACATGCAGCTTATCTATGACTACAGCTCAGAAACACCACAAAGGATGTCTGAGAGGAGAGAAAGCATTCAAAATGGAGTTGTTTTCATGGTCAGTTTGGCAGTTTGAGTCCTCAGCTGTGAACACGTTTCACACCATCTATTCACCTGAACAGAATAAATAGATCAATTAATAATAATAATAAGAAGAAGAAGAAGAAGAATTTTATTTATAAAGCACTTTTGGTCAAAATGCTGTACAGGCAATAAATCAAACACAATCAATAAAACAACACAATCCAACAATTCAGGACACATAGGATAAGGTGCACATGTGGGTCTTTAGCTTTCAAACACCCACAGAGCAGGCCTGTGTCATGTCCAGAGAGAGGCTGTTCCACGGTGTCGGGCCAATGAGAAGGCTCGCTCACCAACACTCTTCCTGACCTTCGGCACAGCCAGCAGTGCAGAGGGCACGAGAAGGTGCATACAACGTGACCAGACCGAATAAATAAGAGGGTGCCAGTCCATTTAAAATTTAAAAAGTCAATAAAAGCATAAGAGCGTGACATGGAAGCCAGTGCAAAGAGACCAGCACCGGGGTCATGTGATCAGATTTTCCAGCTCCAGTCAGAACCCGAGCTGCAGCATTTTGCACCATCTGCAGGACTCTGAATAATAATAATAAATAATAATAAATACATTCTAATGGCATCAAGTGTGACTGCAAAAAGACAAGATGGTTTTTTGACATTTACATTAGAAAGCATTGTTGGAAATGACAAAATTAGGACGCGACTATCAACTACGACCAAAGCTCCAAACTACATGCTTCTTGTTTTTCTGTGGACTGTACCTGACCAGGCACCGAGTGTTTCATGCAGTTTGCTTCCAGCTGGAACAGACCACAGCTGTCTGGAGTATGAAATGAGATGCTGTCTGTCTGTTGAGCTTGTTTAGACTCAAGCGCGACATACTGTATATGATGAAGTTGCAGATTTAGTTGAGGCTGTGGCTCAGTGACCTGAAGGCGTGCTGAATGTAGAAGGACGCCTGTTTGTTTCTGGCGTGCTGCAGCACACAAACTGGCTACGGGGCTTCACTAAGTCTTTTTCTGCCACTATACAGTATGACAGTATGGATAAAGCAATGCACCTCAAACATCAGGTGCCAACTGGGACATGAAGACAGAAACGTTTTCAGCTTGTGTCGCTCTCTGGCAACAGAACGTCACTAGAGAGCGACTACAGAATGAGCATATGGAAGAAAACTTTATTATTATTGCCCATAATTAGGTTCGTCTTGCTTAAGCAAGCTTTCTTTTCTTTTCCAAGCATTTCAGTTGGGTTAATGAAGTTCTGTCTTGTCTTATATCATCCATCTTGTCTTTCAGGCTTCAGGCTTTCAGTTACTCTCAGTGGGTGACGCCATGCGTTGCTGAGCTAATGTGGGAGTCTATTGCTTTGCATGCACTGGAAACATCCATCCATCATCTCCACACCTTAACCCTCACTAGGGTCACGGGGGGCGGAGCCTATCCCAGCTGACTCAGGGTGAAGGCAGGTTCACCTGGACAGGTAACCAGTCTATCACAGGGCTACACTTAGAGACAGACAACCAAGCACACTCACATTCACACCTACGGACAATTTACAATCACCAATTAACCTCAGCATGTTTCTGGACTGTGGGAGGAAGCCGGAGAACCCGGAGAGAACCCACGCTGCACGGGGAGAACATGGAGACTCCACGCAGGAAGATCCCGGGTGTCCTCACCGGGACGCCAACCGGCGACCTTCTAACTGTGAGGCCACGGTGCTAACCACTGATCCACTGTGCATCCTCATTGGAAACATGAGAAAAGTTACATTTTTCAGGAGTTGTCCAGGTGTTAGTCCAGAGAGTGCATTTATGCATCATGTTAATGAGGATTAATTTATTTTTTTCCTTTACACCTGAGGAACAATCAGACGAACGCGGTGCCACAGCTGCTATACGCTGTCCATAGTTCTGTTCTGGGTTTGGTATGTGGGGCTGATGCGAACGTCTGCAGCAGACCGACCTGTTCCTAAACCAGCACAGTACGCATAGAACCGCTTGTGTATATGAACGGGGTATTGGTGTCTCCGGGGAAGATGCAACGTGGCCAAAATGTTGAAGTTGTTGTTGAGTGCCACCAATCTAAAGTAAAAAAAAAAAAAAAGGAAGGAAGGAAGGCAGCTGTCTCACCGTTTGCCCAGCAGCTTGAGGGCCATGAGGGAGAAGATGAGGACGCTGAACATGAAGAGCAGAAAGACGTAGAAGATCTGAGGAAGAGCATTCCGGATGCTTCTGAACGCTCTGCGGAGCTGAACACAAACAAACACAAAGCCACAGAGTTTATGCTCGTCCTCCACCGGGACGCTGCGTCCTCATCCACACCAGCTAATGATGCGTTCAGGCGCCATCAGCTCATTAAGTCAAACATTCACATGTTTAGCAGCAGGAAGTTGTCCTAAAGCGCTCCTTCAGTTTAAACAGCAGAGGTCAATTCAGAACCGTCTTCAGAATCCACAGAGGAAGCTTCTGAAACAACTTTGTGAGCTGGATGCTTGTAGCCAGGTTGTGTTTTTCATTATAATTCAACATCACAGTAATCAGTTCTGATCCTGGACCCAAACCAAGAAAAAAGGACGTCCTCCCTCCATCCCTTAGTCACTGTTTTGTAAAGACTAGTTCACATGGGACCTTCTGATCCAGTGTACTGGACCACATGCTCAGATGTCTGGGTTCTAACAGGCAGACATCCGTAGAGCTGCTAGAGTCTCTGAACAAGCTCTTCACTGGAAAAACTCTAAAAATGTAGAACATAGAAACTAAATGTAAGTCCTGGGCTTTAATATTGTACAGTCTCTAACTCCTGATTCAGATGAATATTCAAACAGCAGGATGTGGATCTACATTAATGCAGAAGCACATCCACTGTGACAGAAGGAAGCTTCTGTCTCACATTAACAAGTTTTCCCTGAGAGCGGCCATAAAGAAATCCAGTCATTAAATCTAAAGGTTCATCCAAAGAGGAGATAAGAGAGTTCCTGCTGGGCTCATGACTGGGTTCAGAGAGGTGACACAGGTGAGGTCTTACCTGTCGTCCCTCCGTCACGTTGACCAATAGGAGGGGTCGCAGGACTCTGGACCAGCGGACGCCGTAGCAGTCTGCAGCTTTCAGCGCTCCGTAGATGATCATATCAACCAGAGTGAGCTGGACCAGACACACAGGAGCAACACACAGCTTACTGTTAAAGTTCAGTGACTGTAATAAAGGTCAGGAGGTTTCAGGGCTTTGTTTCAGGATGTCAGAACCTCCAGGACCTTCTGTCAGAACTCCTCACAGTCAGCAAACAGCCTGAACGTATGAAGATAATCTGAGAGAATCAAACAAAGTGAAAGTGATTTGGATTTCAGACTGTGTGAACCCATCAGAACTCACTGTTGAGCTTAATGTACCAGTAACAGAAACCAGGAAAGAGAAAACCCAGAAACAGAAAAGCAGGTCAACAGCAACTCAGCAAGCAAAAAAAAAAGTTGATATTTTAAAAGAAAGCAGCCTCAAGGGGTCTCCTACTGGAAACACAGTCACATCACATGAAGGTCATTCTGTCCCCAAACCACCAACAAACAGCATCCTACAGAGAGCCAGTAGCCCAGTAATGAGACTAAATACTGCTGTGAGCAACCAGTTGAGCAGGACTGGCTGATGTTGTTTCATGTCCACTGAGCTCGCTGACCGCCTGAGAGGCCCTGAGTCACCGGGATCCTTCCTGCTCTAAAGGCGCTGACGAGGCAACATCTCCGACTAAAGGTTGTTTCACAACAACAGGCAGAAAGTCTCCTCAGCACATTCTGCTTCTGCAGCTCAGACAGGAACTCCACTCAGCACACTGCATCTGTTCCAGCTTTCACACCAGGAACCAGGAACTGCTCTGGGTCCGGACTGTCTGACTCACCAACTGTCACCAGGAGATAACCTCCTCCTCACCGAGTGCAGGACTTCAGCACAACACGCTCACAGCGGTCGTCTGCATGAGGACGACAGGAGAGTTTAAAGAGTGTCTGTCCAGACACAAGTACAGTCGTGACTCGATAACCCGACCCGTAACAATCCAGAACCTGCTATCCGACAGGTTTTTAGGAGAAACCAACAGAACCCATAAAAACAGCCTTAACATAGCGACAGCCTTGGATTGTGACTCCGACATGACATTTAATGTCACCAATCAGGATGACGGCGTATTATCTGACTGACTAAACTAGCATCAGCAGCCAAGTACTGCCTGTGTGTTCTGGACACTTCCACCCCGTCAGAGCGCTGCCCCGGGGTGGAAGTGTCCCCCGACCGCACAGAATGTTCTGATATTCATTGTTAATCGGATCTGTGTTGTTCAGACTGTCATGAAAAGACCAGACCCAGGTCGCATAGGAGAAAAACAAAAATCGGATTTGGGTCCCTTCAGCTGCTGTCTGAACGTATTCAGCTTTGATGTCGACCGACGGGCCGATCACACAGTCAGGCTGAAGTCCAGCGATGCGTCGTGTTCTGACAACACACTGGTTATTATAACAACTATGAACAATAATGAACAACTAATGAGCCTTCCAGCATCAAGCCCTCCTCGTATCTGGACCTCCGTCTGGACAATCCCACAGCCTTGATATCCGACATAGAAGAAGGTTTTACATTTAGTGTCGGGTCATCGAGTCACGGCTGTACACCTGACTTTTAAAACAAAACCCTGAATCTACAAACCTGGTTTAGTTGTTCTGGCTCGGTCATTCAGAAAAAGATTTGTGCCTTTGTGACTGAATGCAGTTGTTTTGGTGACATTACTGCGAGTTGCTACCGACAGATCAGAAGCTTATTTTTGCACCTCACCTGGAAAACGTCTGATAGCATGTGAACGGCATGGACCAGACATCACATTCAGATGAAAGGGAATGGAACCAATTAATTCAACTTCAGCATATTTGGTATTCAGTGATTGTTCATGTTACGCACTGA